CTAATTTCTAGGAGGCAAACAACAACTCAAAGAAATGATGCTCTTGTTTTCAATTGTTTTAATTATGGAAAACTGGGTCATATGGCTAAAAGATGTAAGAGTAGTCCCAAACCTGTTGGCTCTAATGCACAAGTTAACCTGATTGATGAGCAATGCATTTCTATGATCACTAAAATCAACATGGTTGGTGGATAGACATTGACACCTCTCTTTATGTCTGCTATGACCTTGCTATGTTCAAGACATACACGATTTCTGAAGATAAGAAAGTGTTGTTGGGAGATGCTCACACCATTGATGTTGCTGAAATTGGAGACGTTGAGATGAACTTCACCTCAGGAAAGACTTTAGTCTTAAAGGACGTCATGCATGTTCCTAAAATTAGGAAAAATCTTGTTTCTGGTTTTCTTTTGAATAAGGCAGGGTTTAGTCAGTCTATTGGGGAAGATTTATACACAATCACTAAGAATAGTATTTTTGTTGGGAAAGGGTATGCCACTGATGGCATGTTTAAGTTGAATGTTGATTTGAATAAAATTTCTCCTTCTGTTTACTCTTTGTATGATTTTAATATTTGACATGCTAGACTTTGTCACATTAATAAGCGAATTATTTCTAATGCAAGCAAGTTATGCCTAATCCCTAAATTAAATTTCAATGATACAAATAAATGTGAATATTGTAGTCAAGCTAAAATTACTAAGACTTCTCATAAATCAATTATTAAAGAATTTGATCCCTTCGATCTTATACACTCTGGTATATGTGAATTAGATGGAACTTTAACTAGAAATAATAAACGTTAAGTTATCACTTTTATTGACGATTGCTATGATTATACTTATGTATAACTAAAGAAGAATAAAAGTGAAGCACTTGACAGGTTTAAGATGTATATAACTGAAATTGAGAATCAACTTAGTAAGAAGATTAAGAGACTTCGTAAGCATAGGGAAACTGAATATGATTCTGGGTTATTTAATGATTTTTATATTAAACATGAAATTCTACATGAAACAACTGCTCCATATTCTCCTGAAATGAATGGTAAAGAAAAAATAAAGAATAGAACTCTTACCAGAAGCTAGCAGGATCATACCTGAGTGAATTGCACACTCAAAGATACAACAGAGTCGCCACCGAACTTTATTTAGTCTCAAAGGACAGGGAAAATATCAATCAAACTCAAGGGGAAGAGAAACAGGTAAGGGGGTCGGTTATACGAGAGGAACATACTAGCACCTCACGCATCTGCCGCACTCGACGGGAACTGTTTTTCTTGCTTCTAGGATTGGATGGGTTATCTATCTAAAGGCTATTAGTTAAAGAGGGAAGGGAAAAGGGATGAAGAAAGTTCTCGTGGAGGATTGGGGCCCTCGTGCCTACGTATCCTCATAGTGAAATGAGAAATTCAGAGCTCCGTAGTTCATGAAACCTGGGAAGAAAAAGAGAAAGAAGAAGAAAAAGAAGTTTGGAAGATGAAGGAAGGTTGGAAGAAGGTAGGAATAAGGTAGCTCATCAAGATCTCGCGCCTACGTATCCTCATAGTGCAATGAGGAAGTCAGAGCTCCATAGTTCAGGGAACCAAGACGGGGAAAGAAAGGAAAATGGTGTCAAAACCAAGAGCAAAGAGAAAAAGAAAGGTGACAACTCCACTGGGGAGAAAAACAACAGGAATGGTGTCGAAACCAAGAAAATAAAGAAGCAACGAAGCTGAATTGAGACAAAGTGGGATCCACTAAGGATTTGTTATGTTAACTAACAGACAATGGTTAACCGAAGAAAGAGAGAATGCGACCCTGACGGGGAAGAAGAAGTTGCTCTACTCAGGAAGAGAAGAAATTGGTGTTTAACCGACAGACGGTGATCAACCAGAAGAAAAAGTGTTTAACCAAAAGGTGTTTGACTCTCTGGGGATTTTGGTATGTTAACTAAAGGACAGTGATTAACCAAAAAAAGAGAGAAATTGGTCTTTTAATCGATGGACGGTGATCAACCAAAAGGACAGGTGTAGAACCAAGCGAAGGTTGCGACCCAAGAGAATAAGTGTGGAACCAAACGAAGGTCGTGACCCAAAGGGATTCGGTACACCAACTGACAAGAGGTACCTGACCGAGGAAAGGGTATTTGAACCAAACGAAGGTTACTACCCCAAAGTCGCGACTGTTTGAACCAAAAGAAGGTTGCTAACTCACATGGGTATTGATTTTAACAGACAGACTATGCTCAACCAAAAGAACGGGTAATGAACCAAGAGAAGGTGATTAACCCAAGAGGAACTCAGTATGTTAATAGACAGACTATGGTTAATTGAGAAAAGGAGCAATTAGTGTTTTAACTGACAAACAGTGGTTAACCAACAAAAAAGGGAGAGTGACCAAAAGAAGGTTGCGTACTCCGCCAGTGATTCGGTATTTTAACATGAAAATTGTGATTAACTGAAGGAATGGGTACAATGAACCAAAGAACAATTATGACTCCACTGAGGAAGAAGAAAATTGATTTTAATAGACAGTCTGTGATCAGCCAAAAGGATGGGTGGTGAACCAAGAGAAGGTGATTACCCAAAGGAGAGAAGAGACTGGGACAAGAATGAATGACTAAGAGTCGACTCAAGAGGCACCATAGTCTGGGGATAGAGGTGATTATTCTAGATATTAGGGCCAGACGTCCTTACTCAAAATAGTCAAAATGAGGGTAGGATAGACTACATTCCCTTTCCTGCTCTAACACCTAAAGTGCAGTGAGGGAATTGAATCTGACAGAGTAACGACGCAATTTGTACAGTGCTCCATTTTGTTGTGCAAACCTCTGGCTTCAGCAGGATCAGGAAAGAAAGGCTCTAAGGAGATCCTAAATAAGAGAGAGAGGAGGGGGGGATTAATCAATCAAAACAAGATTTCAAACAAAAATTATTACAAGTAGATTCTAACCTAAAACAGTATTATTAACATGTATACAAGTAATCATGTGAAGCCACACAAGAAATTCATGCAAAACAACCCTCAAAAGCAAGATTTTTGTAGAAAGTTACAGTGGTAACCAGTTGCCTCATGATGTAACCGGTTACATCATGAAAAATAGAATTTCCAGGGGTGCAGATAGGTGAGGTAACTCGTTACCTCAATAAGAAATAGCAAAACCGAATTTTCAAAAGCACTTTTAAGAATCACTTATTTCATGTAATTGCAGTGGATAAAAACATAGAAGAAGATGCAAAATTCATGTTAGTTCATAGCAAATAAAAGCTAAAATAATTGATCATGCAAAACAAGAATTCAAGCAACAAAACCTTAATTAAGAGCTACATTGTGAAAACGCAAAAATGATCGAAAATAACAAATTAAGCAAGAATCACCAACCTACAAGGCAGAGGCTTGACTTGGTAATTGTTGTAAGAATCACCAACATACATTTTTGGATTTTAATCAATGGTTAGTAAACATAAACATAACCAAATATCAAACAAACAAGAAACAAGGGTGTTCGGTGATTGCTCAAGAATAAACCTGCAGATGAAGGTAAAAGAGAATTAAAGCTTGCAATCTTGTTTGTGGGATGAGATGCAAATGATATGTGGGACCTTAGGGGTAAAAATTAGGGTATTACACATACCAGAAAATAATTTCAAAATTTGTGGTGCAAAACAAGTTTTTGATAACTACTGGAAATTAAAATTTCTGATATAAAGAATGAGATTTATACAAGAATTTTTGAATTTTCTAGCATACATTTTAAAGAAAATATCGGAAATTTTGAAATTTCTGATACATATTTCACTAAAAGTACCAGAAATTTGGAAATTATCAGTGAAAAACTCATTGTTTTTCAAATTTCCGGTAGCACGCTCGAGATTTTTGTTACCACCCCTAAGATTTCAAATTTCCACCCTCAACCTGTGAATAGGGGTGTGCATGGTTACCAAATTACAAGAACCAGACCATTTTATTGGTTCTAGTTTAAAAACCAAACTATTTTTTTTATCAAAACCAAATTAAAAATGTAAAATGGTTTCAATTCAGTTTAAACTGGTTTAAACCAGTTTTTAATAAAAACTGATTTTCAAATGAACTGTAGCTTATTTTTTTATTAGAATTTCTGTTGTGTAACTTAATACTGTTATATAGCATAACCTGTCCTTTCTTCTAAATGTATTGATGATTATAGTCATTCATTAATATTTTTTTAAAAAATTAAATAAGTAATAATTAAAATAAATAATAACATTCAGATGAGACAATTGAAGTTAAGTCTGGGTTTCATGACATGTAAGGCTCCCGGACAGTGTGGTATTAAAGCCTATACAGAAAGAAGGGGTGCATATAGTATGAATATAATAAAGAGAGCGAGTAAGGAGAAATCACTTAAACATGGAAACACTTGAACCAAACACTCAACCTATTACTACTACTTCTTCTTTATCGCTTCCTAAACTCTATAAAAAGACTAATTCTCATAAAATAGAAAACCTTATTGAGTAATCTCATGTTCCTGAAGATGATCAAATTTTTGAAACAATACCTCCTCTATTAAGTCCGTACAACATCTTCAAAAGACAAATAAGTGTTACCAGATCCATCCAAAATCTTATCTCTACAAATTACCCTCATATGAAAGAATCCGTCCAGTCATCTAGACTAGACCAATGTAGCCTAAGAGCTACAAACTAGGAGCAACACATAGATCTAGAGATTCCCCAATATCTCATAAACCACTAGAAAGCTTAAGGATATACAACCTTACACATTGGGGCTGTCAGACTCATCCTTTCTCTTCATGGAAGGAAGAACAAACACGTCTTTTGCAAAATAGTTCTACTGAACTACAACTACCTCCACTATAAAAATGTTGTGATAGGAATTGTTATAACTACACTTCATGCAGGAAGTGTTGTCCTCGCCATCTTCCAAAACTATAACGTGAGTTTTAATGATAATACTTTATCCACAAGACTGAAAGTACAGATCCAGATCACCGAATCTGACCAAGTTCCAAAAGTTATGCCAGCTACTCTCCATCACCAGATAATATACCGCTTACAAAATCCCTCGATAGATCTTCCTCTCTCAGGATGCTCTTCTGATTCACCATTGGTTGTCACCAACAGAGAAGAAGACATACCCTCCATAGTTCATATTCCAAGAAAAATCACAGGGAAAGAATTATATCATCTAATTCCCCTTAAATGGATAACCAACTATGAGAGGCTCCATGTTGACAAATGGCCTATCCAATTTCAAGAGGCTACTTTCAAGAAGATCCGTTGACAAGACAATCAAGACGATCTTCAAGAAGCCAAACAAAGGGTCGAGCTCAATATCTCCGATCTTCTAGACAATGATGATCCAACCAGTTTTGAAAGAAGACTGATGTCCTGTTTATGCTATTAAAACATAGGGAAAACCCATTTACACCGATAAAATAGATGGCCACTTCATTCGGGATGTTGATCCAACAAGATGTGACCTGGATTGTGACTGCTGGATGCACGACAATGATATTGACCGAGATACCATTCTTCCCAAAACAAAGAAAAAAGGGAAGGTGTGAACCCTCTCCACCTCCTCAAAGGAGATCTGAACCAGACAATGGTCCATGGGTAGGAATCCATGAAAAAAAGAAACCCCTTTGTATTTACGAGGAAGGACTTAAAATCCTCAGGAAAGAAGGGTTGTTACCACCTGATGATCCGACTCTTATTACATGGTCACCAACAGACCATTGTAAACCACTACATCCTCTAGTTGTTGCTCATCCAATTCCTTGCTTTATATATTCAACCACAACTCCGGAGTACGACCGACAATTTCCTGCTTTGGAAAGAAAGATGGATCCAATCATAGGCAGAACATCCAAACCCTTCATTCGTCCGAGTGAAATCCAACCCGATGGGAAACTGAAACCTTTAACTCAAGATGGAAAAGTTTTGAATTGGCAATCTAAAAACATGGTTTCTCAAAATGAAATTCTCCAAAACCTTGACAAAAAGGTAGATAAGATTGCTGAAAAAATAGACGAAACAGATGAGGATTTCAAGGTTTTATCCCAAAAAATGGAGAAACATTACAGAAGTTTGAAAGCCCAAGTATCCCTGTTAGATCGGGATTTGCGGCAGATGTTAGAAGAGAGAACTTTTGGTAAAACATTTGACCAAAAGGAAAGAGAAATTAAAAGTCTACAAAGCCAAGTAAAAGAGATATATGATTTCTTAAGAGCCTCTCTTGAAAGAAACCCCAAGCCTGTTGAAAACTCTTTCTTTGACCTTCCTACTATTCCTACATATTTCAAACGACTAGAAAGGCCTTCTCCTTTCTACCCTACCTATGTTTCATCACCATCAGACCATGTCAAATACATACCTACAACTTACAGACCAAAATTTGCCAGAACTGCCACTACCTCAACCTCCAAGACAAAGGGGAAAACTGCTTGCTTGAGCGCTTCATCCTCAGACTCTCAAGATATCCCTGAAACACCTCCTCCAAAAATCCAAAAGGAAGAAGAAATTCCTAATAAATGTTTTCAAGCCATGGCAATCACTACAAATTATGAGTCTCCCCGAAAAGATCTCTCTGAATCATCAAAACAAAAGGGAGATGAGTCCTTCTCAGATGGTGACAACAACTCTGATCCAAAATCATCTTCTGATGAAACATCGAGATCTTTTTCAACTAAATAAGAATCTGAAGACAACTATTTCCCAAGACTCTTCAAGGGAAATGTAAATGAGGAAGAATCCTTTTTTGAAGAAGAATCCCCTGAAGAAGTTGGCCCAATAATTGTTTATGGGTTTTTTCATCTTTTGAGAGTAACAATATCACCAATATAGATGAGGATACTGTTGAGGATGGGCTAAAAAATTATAGTCATGGCTTTTTGAAAGAGTGACGGGGCTACCTTAAGCCCAAATGGTAACACAGTCCATTGATACTGGGCGTTAGGGATGCAGAACATCGTTTTGTAGCGATCCTCAAGGTCGATACCTTAATCCCAAATGGTAACACAATCCATTGAAGTGCAAGGTTGTATATCCTTCGGTTTTCCAGTGGTTTATGAGATATTGGAGAATCTCCAGATCTACGTACTGCTTCTGGTTTGTAGCTCTTAGGCTGCATTGGTCTAGTCTAGAGGACTAGACGTATTCTTTAATGTGAGGGCGATTTGTACAGATAAGATTTTGGATGGATTTGGTAACACTTCTTTGTCTTTTGAAGATATTGTACAGACTTAATAGAGGATGTATTGTTTCACAAGTTTGAGCATCTTCAGAAACATGAGAGTACTCAATTTCTATTTTATGAGAATTAGTCTTTTTACAGAGTTTAGGAAGCAATAAAGAAGAAGTAGTAGTAATAGGTTGAGTATTTGGTTCAGGCGTTTCCATGTTTAAGTGATTTCTTTTAAAGTTTTTAGTCTATAATTTTGATTCTTTTCGTCAATAATTATTAACGAAAATTGACGTGACACGACACGTCATATCAAAAATTTTACTATCCGAATGTATACATAGCAGTGACAGTGGGGCAAGATACTAAGGTGTTAAGGTCAAAAAATCATATTTCATTCAATTAAAATTTATAACTGCTGTAATAAAAATTGAATAAATGTGGTTTGATCAATTTATTATACTTGTCATAAATTCATGGCTGTTAGCTCATATTACATGACAATTTACTGTGCATTTTCTTCTCATGCCTTTTTGTTTCCTCTTAAAACTAGAGATAGTTTGTTATCACCGTAGCCAGCTTCCAGATTTTTTATGAGACGAACATAAAGGAACTTTAATGCCTACGTACATTTGTTATTGAAGATTTGTTTCAGGATGAGATGAGAAAAGAAAACAGAGATGATGATAATGCCTATTAGTTAGGCTTGTTTTCAGTTTTACCAATTCATTTTAATTCCGTTACAGTTGCATTTTGAGTTGTATTTTTCTCACTTTTCTCTTGATTGTTTCGCAACCAATCTAATGTGATTATTGTAAACTCAGGATCTTATTGATTTGATATCACGTTTTCATTGAACCCAGGATCTTATTGATTTGATATCATCTACGGGCATGAAGCTCCATAATTGATAACAGTCTGCAAACAATCATGTAACAGACAATCAAATACACACCTTCTATGAGAAATCACATATAGAAATAAGCCAGTTCCAGTTGATATGTGTGAGAATTTGAGTGAAATCATCATCATGAATCGGACACAAACATGCATGCAGCAATTAACTGAATGTTTTAAGAATGTTTTGTTCATCATTGGTGAAGATCATGATCATGAATATTGTATTAGTGCAAAAGTGGGGCGAGACCAACTTATAGTTTCATTTACTAACGAGTTTGCGGTTTGCGGACTCACCAAACTTTTTTTTAACTTTAATTTACTACTTTATTTATAATTTTTTTTATAATTTACTACTTTATGAACACTTTGATTTTTTTAATTTACAAACTTTTATATTCAGCTAATTTTTTATTCCATATACCATTACCATCTAAATAATATTAGACACTTTTAAGAGTCACTTAAAAATTAAACATATAAAAAGTTGTAGGATTTTACTAAACAATAACTAAAAAAAAGTTACTACTTCATTGCTTCTCAATTTTTTTATTTCTATCTCTTAAATGATTGGGTTTCATGGTTACGACTT